AAGTTTTCCAGTCGACTCTATTTATTTGAATCAAAAAAATTTTTGGGATTTTTTTTTGTAAACATTTTATATTAATATTTATTATAACTTGTATGGAGAATATTTGATGTACACCAATGGTTCTGAGAGTATGTATCTTTGTATTTAAAAACTTACTTTTTTCCGAAACTCACGCTTCGTAAACGCTTTGTTCTTTTTTAAGCAAGCTGTAACTTGTTTTGCATTTACTACCTTAAATCCGTACATGAACTTGTAAAAAATTGGACGTGTACAATGTGCTGAAAAATCACTTGTGCCTATGTATACCTGAGAGATTTACATGATATACTTTTTGCCACTGACGTTAAAAACAAAAAATTATACGGTATCACTTTAATAATTGACAAATTCAATGTGGGAAAAATTAGTTGATAAAAATAAATGCTGACCATATCTTTTTAGAAGGGAGCGAAATTTCAATAGAGAACTTGGCTACAGATTTTTCAAATCCAAATATATATTATACTTATTTTCCTGACCAGTGCGACTTTTTCGAGCAAGTACCTCTGTGGATTTTTACACGTGCTGTTTCACTGCACGATTCTCCTCATGAAGGGTGAAGGGAGTATACGCAACCCTCTTGCAGTAAAATTGCTTAATTATCTATAATTACCCTCTCGGTAATAGGAGGGCTCCCATCCCCTTTCGTCGTCCCTTTCTAAAGTGTCAAGTACCTCCCAGTGGCTTAAGTGGTAGAGCGCTTGTCTTCCATCTGGAAGGCTCGGGTTCGAAACTCCGCTCCGTCACTTTTTCGCGGGTACTTACATCCTCTGTCCCTCTGTGCATGCATGCATGGTTTCTTCCACATGTCCCAAACGATGTGGAGCTCCTCGTCAGTATGGTGTAATGCTACTGTGCCATCTGAGAGTAAGGGAAACGGTGCCTGATGGCTTTGCGGTGTAGTGCATATACCGAGCCGTCGCGTCGGAGCAGTAAGAATCAACGGTGTCTCAAATTATTAATTCTCGAGTATACTGATTGAAAAATACAAATAAACAGATTTGAATTGGCATACCGTTGTCATAGTAAGTGACACAAGGCCAACCACAAAGGGCGCAAAGACAAAAAGACCTCTATAATTTTTTTTTTAATTATAGTGCTCTACGTCCGGCTCCTTTAATAAGGGCACTACTATGGGCACTTAGCACTTGGGAGAAGGAAGGGAAGAGGGATGGGTGGCCTCCCATTAAAGGAGGGGGTAGTGGGAAATTAGGCAATTATGTTGCGAGGAGGTCGCCTAAACCCTCCTCGAGGAGCATTGCGTGGTGAAAAAGCACATGTGAAAAATCACAGAGGTACTTGCCCGAAAAAGTCATACTGGCCGGGAATCGAACCGCGGTCTCCCGCGTCCCAACCCACTTGCTGGGACGTGCATGATGGACACTTTTCCCAGCGGGAGCGGAACGCGTGGAATGGTGATGTGATGGGGGAACTCTTTTCTCTTTCCGCTGTGACGTTCCGCTAATGACAATTTTCGCCCTATGTAACCGCGGCCTAAATATCGAGATTCGAGATACGAATAACGAATACGAAATAAGTACGAATTTATTTTGTCAGCATAGCCGTGTCCACCGCGCGAGACCGCTTCTTTACTATTATGTGCTAGGGTACAGGAAATTAGATAAAAGGAAAAATACACTGTCGGTTATATTTATAAAGTTTAACTGAATTTATTCTTGTACAGCCTTGCTGTCCTCTTCATACAAAAACCCTTACCGTCGTTTATATCTGTCGTCTGTACAGGCTGGTAGCTTGTATTCAATTAACCTGAAATAACTTGTAGACCGATGCGCAGCATCAGTCATATACTCGAGTACTACTAGAATTATATAGATGGCGCTCTGTGTAAACTTTACATACAACACTCCCTTCAGTTTCACAGAACGCTAATCTCAAATTGTTTATGACTGATTGTCTTGCAAAGTAAACTGACGGTCTTCCTCTCGCTGTCTTCTGGAGCTCCCTTTACTGATTGTAGCCTTTCTTTTCGTTTGCGTTTCCACCTTGTCCTTTGGCTTTACTTTCATTCTTATGACCTTTGTGATTGTCTCTTTTCTGTCTTTTATTTTGGGTATTTTGTTCACTGTTATGCTCTCTTTTTCCCCTTTTAGACGTAGAGTTCTTCGATCCCCGACCGTCTTTATTTTCCCGTCTTTTAAAATCCCAATTAACATTTTTCTTCTCACCTGATGAGGCGCCCCTGCAGGTTCTTTTGTGCTCCATGAGGTTCCTTTGGAGCCTTCCGCAGGAGTAGCACTTCTTCAACCCTGCGTCGACCAGGCAGTTGTAGGAGTGGTGCCCAAAGTCGTCACATCGATAGAACGGGTGTTGTCGTGCGTTGAATTCGGCTGGTGCACCCGCAGCGCCGTTGTTGAGGCAATTCCCCCTGTTGCTCGGGCTCTCTGTCGTCTCGACTCAGTCTTTAAAAAGAAAGATTTTAAGCGGTCATAGCTCATTCTCTTTCCTTGCGCATTTTCGATCATGGCGTCAAGGATTTCAATCTGTGATACGTTGTTAACGACGGCATTATAGAATGCGTCACGTATCTCTTCTTCGGACAAGGATTGTTTCCCTTGTAAATTTTCGTAGCTTCTGAGGAGCTCTTCAAATTTAACAACGAAGTCCGACCCTGTCATTTTATAGGGGAAATACCGAAAGATGTACAGTTTTCGTCTGATCTCGTTAGACGACAAGTTAGTCTCATTTCTTTTAATTTCTTTCAGTTTATTCAACAGTTCTTTGGGGTTAGAATAATGAGCAGTCTTTAAGTGATATAAATCATCAATGTGATTAATTATGATATGTCCTACGCTTTCTTTGTGATAATCTAATTCTTTGGGTGACAAAAATGTGGGAAATTCAATAGTGTCATCTAATACATGCAGCAGTCTTTTAATTTTTAACTCTGAAAATAATTTATCAAGAAATAATTCTATCTTCGTTTTAGAGGTAAATTTATAATCGTAACGAGAAGATGAGTCCTTGTTCAACAATTCGAGTTGAAACCTTTCACTCCGATCAAGATCAGTCGTTCTGTCATGCAATGTAGGGTTAAAGACCTTTTCCGAAAGAGGATCAATTCTATGCTCGTGGTTNCCCCACAAAATGAGGTAAAATTTTTCCTTTTTCTCCCTTATTTCGGCTTAGCTTATTTTTTGTTCAGACTCCCCACAGTCACCCAGGCCCCATACCAGGGGCCCCCTCACCGCCCTCTCCACCACATAATTTTTTTAATCTTCACCGCTCCCCTCTGTGGGAGGAGAATAGAATCGAAGAATGCTCCCTATATTATCACAAAAGAAATACCTATCACGATATCAAGAAGTTATAAAAATGGGAGATGCATGCAAACAGTTCCTTATTATTGCACGTAATCCAAGTAACAACTATCTCATATTGTACAAATATATTTTCTATGTAAATATTTATTTTTTTATCACCTGAAAAACCATGGAATAACAAATAATTGTGGGGGTTAGCGCGTGAAGCGCGTATGGGGGCGAACACTTTAGAAAAATAACAAAAAAAATGTATCAATTCGAGGTGAGGTGCGACTACTAGCGCCAAAGAGCCTGTACAAAAACAAATGAAGAGGCCAGAGTTAAAACTAAAACCTGTCCTATTTGACTTGTTCAAAAAAAAAGAGCGCCAATTTAGCGCTATTTTATAATTTGAAAAAGCATCATGCGGCAATAACGCATACTAAAACCTGTTCTACGAGTGTCACCTCGAATCTAGAATATGAAATATTTTCCTGCCACGTAAGAATGTCAAATTCATTTCGTTGGTCAAATTTCAATAATCAATAGAACTGAAAAACACATAAACCTTTAGTTAACTTCGTCTGCTGCTTATTTACGCTTCAGCAGTTAAAACAAAAATCTTGAGATTAAAAACATTACAATTAAAAATATGAGAAAAGTTTAAATTAATTGGACATAAAAATTTATTCATATAGTATTTTTTCTACTTCGAACATTTTTTTTAACTTTGAACATTTGCTGTGCCTGTGATAATGAATATGCATCTCCCCCACGGCAGTAATTGGGCTCAAAAGTACTTGTTAAGCATCTTGCGACAAAATATACTACTAATATATATTTTTTTTTGTTGGACTGATATTATGATTGTTTTAAATTTCATTTGCAGCCTATTTTTTCTGCAAAATATGCCGAAACAAAGTCTCCCATTTGAAAGCAGCGAAATTTTAATGCCTAAAGATTCCGGAAAATTCATTGCTGAGCATTCCAATCATGTGAAAATACTCGATCAAACCATCGGAAAACTCGAAAATCAGGTGAATAAGTATAATTTGTTTTCAACCATTTTTATCAAATTAGGTTTGTTAAACATATTAAAAAATTATGTTGGAGACTTTTTTTTCATCTTTAAAAGTGGCAATAATCAAAGAGAGCATCAAAAATAAACGTGGATTTAATTTTTCGAATTTTTCGAGGCCATTTTGTCCGAAATGTATATCAATATATTGAAAATAAAAACTGCCAGTATAATATGTGACCAGATACTATTTCAACCTTTTTTAAACAGATAACATCTAAAAATACAATGTACAAGTTTTTCATAGGTGTAAGTATTAAAAAAAATTTTGTTCTTTTTTTTAATCGAAATTTTTCATATTTCAGCTTCTTAGAGCTTTTGAGGAGAAAAAATTTGACCTTAAAAATTTCTCTGAATGCGAATATCACCCTGATAAAAATGATCCTAGAACGCCTAATTGGTTGCTAGTTATCGATGCATTGAATTTTTCTTTCTGGAATGATAAAAAAGACGAAAAATGGACCTTCAAAGGAGAATCTGGTTATTATGCCTTGTGTGCCGCAATAAAAAAGGCAGTCGATGTATGTATTCACCTCGTATCATTTACATTTCATTACCAACACAATTGTTAATGATTTTCACATAGAATGGAGTACCGATGACAGATGCTACTTACCTTTCAAAAATAACCCGCGATGAACTTCGACATATTTTACACGATCCGGAAAGTAAGGGGGAAATATCGCTTCTCGAAGAACGAGTGAAGAATCTGAATCAAGCTGGAAGCATTTTACTTGAAAAATATAATGGTAAGTAAAAGTCGCACAAAATTTAGGATTAAAAAATCTTTGAATCAGCCGTTTATCTCCTAAGCCAAAATGAAAAATTACATATACATTGTTACGGGGTGCGCGGGGAGAAATGACGCAGGGAACAGGACATGTCCTGCCTTATGTGATTTCAGCCGGGCTTATCAAGCCCGGAAGCCCTCGACAGCACTCCTCGTACTTTGTACAGGTCTAACGACCTGTAGACTTTACCTAATGTTACTGTAGTCAAGCCTGGACTTCGGGTGCTCCGCTGGCTTATAACTCAAGGCCACGTATGTCCCTAATAATACGTGGAGTAGCTATATATTCAATGACAGGTATAGGATTGGGATTGCGGAACTGTTAAAGTTGACGACACATACATATACATGCATTAATAAAGAAAGATTCTCAACATTATGAATAAAAGAAAAGTATATTGAATCTGAAGTAATAATTGAATAATACGAAATCGTGTGTGTGTGCGTATGTGTCTGTAATTAACAACAGAGTACGTTATAATAAACCTTGGTGAGGATACCGCTGTCCCCCGTATATTTATAACTATAATCGGCGTACAACTTCCGCGTCCTACGCAGCGGGCAGACCTCGCGAGCTAGTGGAAACGAACGCGCGCAAAAACACTCGCTTCAACTTACTTTCTTTTTGCGGCGATCTCCGGCGTAACCGACCAACAGCCAAGCTCCACCAGCCAAGCTCCTTGGACTCGACTTGGTAATCGCCGCCTGAAGTTACCGCACTGAAAATAATTCAGCATGCTGGCTACTCTCTAATACAAGTGACAGCAGCGCCCTCCTGTATGAGTATATGATGCTCTGAAACGGAGTAACAGTAGCACTTTTCACGTGTAGCACCATTGTATCGACTACTATGCACAACACTATACGTTTGATCGGAGTACAGGCTACTCCGATTCGAAGTAATATTTAGGCTATAGTATACATGCCGAGCGTATATTACTCCGATCGGAGTAGCTGATAATACTCCGATGGAAAGTATAGGTACTGCTATTGCTATGTCAAATCAGAGTAGCCTCTTAACTTGAAGAGTAGGGGGCGCGCTGAATCTTTTTCAGTGCGGATACTCGGGTGACGTCGACCTTGAAAACTCACTCTCTCTCGTTCGACTCGACGGCTCGTACACCTAACCTCTACGGAAGCGCCACCTAGCCAACTACCACGGAGCTAGCTTCGTGGGTTGATTTGCATAACTAGCTACTGGCTATCTATAATCATATTACAAGTATATATATCCAGGCTCAGAACGCAAAACAATCCACGTTTACTTTTTTTTGATAATTTTAGAGATGTACATAAATTTTTACATGAAAACGCGATAATGCTGAACAAGTATATAAATATATACGTATAATATGTTTATATCATTTGACGACAAAATGATTTATTTGTTCAGTATTATCGCATTTTCACGTAAAAATTGATGTACATCTCTAAAATTATCAAAAAAAAAGTAAACGTGGATTGTTTTTCGTTCTGTGCCTGGTCTGCTGTATATATATGTATATATACTTATACTAGCCAGTAGCAGAGATTAGTTGGGAGATTGCTGACTGCCATGCTACGGAGTGTGCCCACTTTTTTCCAGTGGTTCGAGCGCCCCGCCGCGGCCAAGCGGCCGAACCAGGCGCACATTTTTTTTTTTATTTGAGCAGCACGGTAGGGGTATGAGAAGAGTGGATTCGCGTGGAAATGTCCATATAGGCGCACATTTTGGAGACGCGTGGAAGGGGTATACCGAATGTGCGCCTACGAGGAGAGGAGTGGAAATGTCGGCTATATAGCTGTATATATCTGAACGCACAGCCAAAGCAAGCGACGATACGAGTTTTTCTTTTTTGAGAGTCTTTGGACTCTGCAACTGAGTACATGCTATATGTATATATTTAACTGACTTGCTCTCGCTCTGGCTTCAATGTTATCCATAAATCTTATTTAATTAAATCGTGGAACTAAATGCTCATTAATTATATACACAGAATTTTGATTTCAATACATTATGTTTTAA